ATTTCAGTGTTTTTATTCGATTATCCGTTGCGAAGTATAGCTCGTCATGCCTGCTGGCCAGAAGCGGTTCTTGGAATCTTTCTGTAATCGGAATTAGGTAAGCCCCAGCGAAAAAAAAGGAAACATTTCCCATGCGATCCATAGTAACCGGTAGCAATCGACGCCATTGCGGCGAAATTGAATGCAAGCCTCGTATTCGAGGAGCGTACGCGGTCTTCGAGTTCCGAGCGGAATAAGAGCGCGTCGATAACGCTTCGATATCAAACGGTTTTAGGCGAATAATCCCAACTATAAGAGAATATCAGGTAACCTTCTCCTAATAACGCCTATCGTCGGATACGTCGCTTCTAGACGCGTACTCTCTGCGTACTGTCCGCGTATCTACGCGTACGCGCATGGAAATCTATCGCTTCTACGTCGCGTGTAGATTACGTTTTTCTTTCGAATGAAATTCTCCGACTCGTAGAGGAAAGGGAGCGCTCGAAAAAATTCATCGTTACTCGATGTCGACGATGATTTCGACGACGAGATATATTACGATCATCGCGATAATTACGAGGTTGATCGATGATGGCGATGACGACGACGACGACGACGACGACGACGACGACGACGACGACGACGATGATAATTCTACTATCGCTTCGTTCGAAACGCTTCGTCGAAATAAAAAGCGGTGCCGCGCTCGCGTTTCTCCTCGTTTAAGGAAAACGCTCGGAAATCGGTCGAGAGTTCCTCTCGACGAGATCGACGAAACGAAATCGACCAGCGGTCGTCCGCGGGGTTAAAGTTGCACCGTGTTCGCGGGACGCGACGGATCGAAAATTTCAAATCGAGAAAATTAGCGCCCTGAACGGCGCGTATCACCGCCATCTTGTAAAAGTGTCTCTGTAGTGTTTGGAGGTTCAGCGAGAAGGAACAGCAGCTTCGCCGGAGGCTGGAAGTCCTTTTGAAGTGGTTGCAACGGTCCTTGGCAGTCCCTGGGCACCCAGGTGACCTCGTGCGAGGCCAGGGTACCTTCAAGCTGCTAGGACAACCCCACGGCCAGCAAACGCGTTTACACGCCCGACTCTCGCGAAGATGGTGAGCACTCCTTCGCACCAACATTTTCATCTAACCCTCCGATCAATTTGTTTTTCATTCGGAATCGTGTCCAGTGATTTCTCGTTGACGCGACCGTTCGTACGAGGAATACTCACCTACGAAACCGTATCTCTCTCCGACATTTCTCCAAACATTTAACCTGCATACATGTTCCGAATCTTGGCGTCGAACAGACAGCTCTCGCCTGTCAATATTTTTATTAGGTTGGTCGATACCTAACCAAAGGTAGGTCTTTTCATCCAAACCTTCGCTATCTCGGTACAACAGCGTCAATCGCATAATCTCTCTTCGCGAAATGAATTTCTGCACCACGAATTTCTAGTTTATGGCAGTGATCAACATTCGAATTCTTACAATCTATTCGCATTACGTCGATGCAGAGAGATATACACTGGTTATACCCTCTTCTAAATTATCGGATACCTATATTCCGTTGTTAGAATCGTCAGAACCATTGGCAAAATCCTTGGTCGCGTTAAACCTATTCCCTTTTCGTTTGCCTGGCTATCGGCTACTATTAACAAGCATTATTCTTGTACGTATCTTTGTTTAGAGTTCAGCATCGACGGGAGGAACCGAGGGGTCTAGTCCAGCCTCTAGCCCTGCCTCGGCTACGAGTCTCACAATGGCTGCTCCAAAGTACGGTACACTGGTACCGAATCGCATTTTTGTCGGTGGTATCTCGGCTAACACCAGTGCAGACGAACTAACCGAACTGTTCTCTTCGTACGGCAATGTGAAAGCTACCAAGATAATCGCGGACCGTGCAGGTGTTTCTAAAGGTTATGGATTTGTTACGTTTGAAACCGAAGAGGAAGCTAAAAGACTTCAACGAGAGGTTTATAAAGTGTATCCCATTATACGGCGTTAGAAAGGAGCGTGTAAGCGCAGCACGGGTAATCTTTGTCTGTTTCAATTGCAGTCCGAGTGCATCGTGTTGAGAGAAAGAAAATTGAATATCGCGCCTGCGATTAAGAAGCAACCCTTCAATAGATCATTCGACGGTGGTTCTGGATCTCCACCCTCTGTGCCTACCAATGCTTACTACTATCCGAACGGTCAGTGAAGCCAAGCGATAACCACTCTGGCTGATTATTTCCATCGATTCGTTATTCGTTTGTCCTTTGGTTCTTCTTTATTCGTTGGTCTCTTCTATTCTTGTCAGGTATGGGGTTAGCATACCAGAGCGGTATGTTCTACAATACGACGGCTCCAGCGCCAACGACGCCGATCGCACCACCGACCGATCCGGCAACTATTTATCAAACCACAGGAGTGTTTGGTAAGTTACGGTAGCGATAGAGCGGTAGCGATACGTTACGATTCCCGGTAAATGTAAACGTAAACGTAAACGTAAACGTAAACGTAAACGTGTTAGGAATTTCTCGATTGTTCCAAGTTGTTTTGAACATGAAACCCTTGTTCCAAACGGTTCTTAGGACCTCAAGCCGCTGGACATCAAACGTTTGCTCCTGTGATGTATCCGTGTCCTGCTCCGTCTCTCTATATGCCCCAGCAGTATCCGTATTCACCTATGCCGGTAAGTAAAGTGTAAAACGAACGCTCACTATGGATCTATGATTCTCTCTTTCTGATATTCCCTTTAATCTTGGGTCCTTTCTACATCCTACCATATGAATTGTCTATGGGTACAGCTTGTATTTTCTATTAAACGGTAACTCGGTTGCGGTTTGACAGACAAATGGTTTGATGGGAGAAGCCATACCACCGGCGTTTCTACCCAACCCTCAGCAAATGCCTACTTACGTCCTTCTCGACGCTATACAGTATTGAGGTCTAAAGGTACATGGTCTATGCTACACGACTAGCATGCAACGCATCATCCTTGCGCGTTTTCTTTGTCAGTCTTTTGCATGGCCTATCGATGCATGCACACTCGACTCTCTTTCATAATTCATGATTTATTATTCATAGTTTCACGTATGTTTTTTACGCACAAGTTTCAACAC